TAGAATGATATATTTTATTTTTGATATATATCCAGTAATGGGATTGCTGGGTCAAACGGTAGTTCTAAGTGTGTTGAGAAATCTCCAAACTGCTTTCTACAGTGGCTGAACTAACTTACATTCCCATCATCCTTGATTAAGCATTCCCTTTTTTCTTCAATATCACTAGCATCTGTTGTTTTTTGTCTTTGTAGTAATAGCCATTCTGACTGGTGTGAGATGGTATCTTGTTGTGGTTTTGATGTGCATTTCTCTAGTAATTAATGATGTTGCCCATGTTTTCATGTTTGTTGGCTGCTTGAATGTCTTCCTTTGAGAGATGTCTGTTCATATCTTTTGCCCATTTATTAAAAATGGGGTTGTTTTTTGCTTAATGTGTTTAATTTCCTTAAATTCCAGAATTCTGGAAACTAAACCTTTGTTAGATGCATAGTTTGTGAACATTTTCTTCCATTCTGTAGATTGTCTGTTTACTCGATTGACAGTTTCTTTTCCTGTGCAGAAGCTCCGTAGTTTAATTAGGTCCCACTTGTCAATTTTTGTTTTTGTCTCAATTGATTTTGAGGACTTAGTCATATTCTTTTCCAAGGCTGATGTCCAGAATGTTGTTTCCTAGGATTGCTTCCAGGATTCTTGTAGTTTGAGGTCTTCTAATAAGTCTTTAATCCATCTTGAGTTTATTTTCATTTATGGTGAAAAGTAGTGGTCCAGTTTCACTCTTCTGCATCTGGCTGTCCAGTTATCCCAGCACCATTTATTGATTAGGCAGTCCTTTTCCTATTGCTTATTTTGTTAAAGATCAGATGGATGTAGGTGTATGGCTTTATTTCTAGTTTCTTTATTCTGTTACATTGATCTGTGTGTCTGATTTTGTACCATGTTGTTCTGGTTGCCATAGCCTTGTAGTGTAGTTTGAAGTTGGGTAGTGTGATGCCACCAGCTTGCTTTTCACTTAGGCTTGCTTTGGCTATTTGGGCTACTTTTTGGTGTCATGAATCTCAGGATTGTTTTTTCTAGTTCTGTGAAAAATGGTATTGGTAGTTCTGTAGGAATACCATTGAATCTTTAAATCACTTTGGGTAGTATAGCCATTTTACCAACATTGATCCTTCCAATCTAAAAACATTATGGAGTGTTTTTCTGTTTGTTTGTGTCATCTGATTTCTTTTTGTAATGTTTTGAGTTCTCCTTGTAGGGATCTTTTACCTTCTTGCTTTCATATACTTCTAGGTATTTTCATGTGTGTGTTGCTATTGTAAATGAGATTGTTTTCTTGATTTGGCTCTCAGCTTGAACATTATTGGTGCATAGAAATGCTGCTAAGTTTTGGACATTGATTTTGTATCCTGGAACTTTATTGAAGTCATTTATAAGTTCCAGGAGCATTTTGGTTGTGTTTTTAGGGTTTTGTAGTTATATAATTGTATAATTAGTAAGAGATATTGTTTTACTTCTTCTTTTCCTATTTGGATATTTTTTATTTCTCTTTCTTGCCTGATTTCTCTGGCTAAGAGTTCAAAAAATCACTTTTCATAATGTGGAAATAGTTTATTTTTTGTTGGGATGTCTCAAATACTTCTTGGTTTCAAAATGTGATCATCTTTATTTTTAAAATGTCTCTCCCAATTAAATGTTTCTTCCACCTAGCTTCCAAGTTGGCAGTAAAGTTCCCTCTTTGTGGCTTTACAGCTTTTTCTTTAAATACTTCCACTGTTTGAATCATGTTCATCTGTGAGGTGTGATGAGCTCCTCATTGCTGTGGATTTTAGTTGTACACTAAAATGCACAGCAATGCCACTCTTGCTGCAAACATTGGGATCAGCTGTGGCTATCCCATAACATCATACTTCTGATTTCATTCTGTTCCTTCATCCTACCAGTTTAATCTGCAGTCATTTCAAGAGAAGTCTGTTTAAAGGATATTCACATTCTGGTAAGGTTCCTTTTGAACTTTTATATGAACTGTAATATGTCATATATCTAACACATTGTCTTGCATGGAATATACAGTCCAGAAACATCTTTTAGTTCTCATAAATTCCTCCCATGCTACTCCTCTTTTTCTCCTATAGCCTTAGTTAGAGCTGCTTTTCATATCAGGTCTGATGCATCAAACCCTTGATTGGTTTTCTGCCTTGTCTTCTCTGGGTCTTACCTCTCTATCAGGACATAACTTCTTAGAAGGTAGAAACTTTCTCTTATTTCAATTTTTTTCATTGTCACACATGATACCCAGCATATAGTAGGGCTCTTATTGAGGTTTTGTTTGTTTGTTTTTTTAAGAAATGGTGTTTGCTTTGTAGAATTACTCTAAATCAGAATTTTCCAAAGTAAGATTGTATGGGAGGGTCTCTCTCTAATATACTCTGCTTAAAACAAACAAGTTTCATGAGCAAATAATTGTGGGAACTATTATAAACTTCACCTCTATCTTGGATATTTGCAGTGAGCTTTAGATATCAAAAACTGGAAAAAAAAAGACCTGCTTAACTTTGTTTACTCTTATTTCCCAAACATATTTGACTATAGATTTTATATTTAAAAACAGCACATATTGCTCTTTTTTGGAATTATTACTAGTATTTTGTATGTTCACAGTTTAGGAAATGTTTCCTGAATTTCCCATTTCTAAAAAAACTAGGGAATGAATATTGTCACTGACTGAGTCAATTAACTTATTAATTAAACTAATTGAAATTTCTCTTTAGCTCTTACCCTCCAGGTTCTAGCTAATAAAATATGCATACAAAGGACTTACAGCAATAGTGGTCAAAGTGTTATTTTAATTAATGGCCAGGCAGTGCCAAAATACTTCCAAATGTATGATGGTGGTAAGCTCTGTTGAAGAATGTGAATGATGGTATAGGACCTCCTATTCTTTTTTTTCTATTGAATTGCAGAAAACCAGACCCACAAGTATCACAGGTATAGATACCTTAGTTCTGTGCTTTTACTACCTGAATTCCGGAGGTATTATCATCTCTGGACTTCCTAAAGATCTAAAGAGTAATGCAGAACCAAAGACAGGGGTTGGGAGTTGCTTTGTACCTGAGGTAGAGAATCTTTGCTCACCGGTGTCAAGGTGGTTAGACTCTCAGAAATCACATCGATTGTTTCTGTTACACTGAAGAGATGGAAAGACAGATGGATAGAAAAACCAAAAGCTTTATTTGCGTATACTTTCTTTTTTTTTAGTGTTTTTTTTCTTTTTTCTTTATTTATTTTAAAAAATATTTTTAATTGTACTTTAGGTTCTGGGTTACATGTGCAGTTCATGCAGGATCGTTGCATAGGTACATACATGGCAATATGGTTTGCTGCCTCCATTCCCCTGTCACCTATATTTGGCATTTATCCCTGTGTTATTCCTCCCTAACCTCCCTACCCCCTGCTGTCCCCCCAGTCCCCTGCAACAGACCCCAGTGTGTGATGTTCCCCTCCCTGTATCCATGTGTTCTCATTGTTCAACACCTGCCTATGAGTGAGAACATGCGGTGTTTGATTTTCTGTTCTTGTGTCAGTTTGTTGAGAATGATGGTTTCCAGATTCATCCATGTCCCTACAAAGGACACGAACTCATGGTTTTTTATGGCTGCATAGTATTCCATGATGTATATGTGCCACATTTTCCTTGTCCAGTCTATCATCAATGGGCATTTGGGTTGGTTCCAGATCTTTGCTATTGTAAACAGTGCTGTAATGAACATACATGTGTGTATGTCTTTATAATAGAATGATTTATAGTCCTTTGGATATATACCCAGTAATGGAATTGCTGGGTAAAATGGAATTTCTATTTCTAGATCCTTGAGGAATTGCCACACTGTCTTCCATAATGATTGAACTAATTTACACTCCCACCAACAGTGTAATAGTGTTCCTATTTCTTCACATCCTCTCCAGCATCTGTCGTCTCCAGATTTTTTAATGATTGCGATTCTAACTGGCGTGAGATGATGTCTCAATATGGTTTTGATTTGCTTTTCTCTAATGACCAGTGATCATGAGCAATTTTTCATATGTTTGTTGGCCTCATCTATGTCTTCTTTTGAAAAGTGTCTGTTCATGTCCTTCACCCACTTTTGAGTGGGTTTGTGTGTTTGTTTTCTTGCAAATCTGTTTTAGTTCTTTGTAGATTCTGGATATTAGCTCTTTGTCAGATGGGTAGATTGCAAAATTTTTTTCCCATTCTGTTGGTTGCCAGTTCACTCTAATGATTGTTTCTTTTGCTGTATAGAAGCTCTGGAGTTTAGTTAGATCCAATTTGTCTATTTTGGCTTTTGTTGCCAATGCTTTTGGTGTTTTAGTCATGAAGTCCTTGCCTATGCCTATGTCTTGAATGGTTTTGCCTAGGTTTTCTTCTAAGGTTTTTATGGTATTAGGTCTTATGTTTAAGTCTTTAATCCATCTGGACTTAATTTTAGTGTAAGGTGTCAGGAAAGAGTCCAGTTTCTGTTTTCTGCACATGGCTAGCCTGTTATCCCAACACCATTTATTAAACAGGGAATCCTTTCCCCATTGCTTGTTTTTGTCAGGTTTGTCCTTTGATGGTTGTAGATGTGTGGCGTTGCCTCCAAGGCCTCTGTTCTGTTCCATTGGTCTATATCTCTGTTTTGGTACCAGTACCATGCTGTTTTGATTACTGTGGCCTTGTAGTATAGTTTGAAGTCAGGTAGCGTGATGCCTTCAGCTTTGTTCTTTTTTCTTAGGATTGTCTTGGCTATTCAACAACTGCTGGAAGTTCTAGACAGAGCAATCACGCAAAAGAAAGAAATAAAATTCATCAAAATTGGAAGAGAGAAGTCAAACTATCCCAGTTTGCAGATGACATGATCCTATATATAGACAACTCCCATAATATTGGCCCCAAAACTCCTTGTCCTGATAAATAATTTCAGCAAAGTCTCATGGTACAAAATCAATGTATAAAAATCACTGAAATTCCTATACACTCACAACATCCAAGCTTAGAGTGAAATCAAGAACACAATCTCATTCACAACTGCTACAAAAAAAAAATACATAGGAATACGGCTAACAAGAGAGGTGAAAGATCACTACCACAACAATTACAAAACATTGCTCAAAGATATCAGAGATAACACAAACAAATGGAAAAACATTTCATGCTCATGGATGGGAAGAATCAATATTGTGAAAGTGGCCGTACTTTCCAAAGCAATTTACTGATTCAGTGCTGTTGCTATCAAACTGCCAGTGACATTCTTCACAGAATTAGAGAAAATACTTAAAAATTTGTATAGAACCAAATAAAAGCTCATATAGCCTAGGCAACCCTAAGCAAAAACAACAAAGCTGGATGCATCACATTACCCAACTTCACACAATGCTACAGGGCTTCAGTAACCAAAACAGCTTAGCACTGGTACAAAAACAGATATAGACCAGTGGAACAAAATATAATGCCCAGATTGCACATCTACAATCATAATCTTCAACTAAGTTGACAAAAACAAGCAATGGGTAAATGACTTCATTTTCAATAAATAATGCTGGGATAACTGGCTAGTCATATGCAGAAGATTGAAACTGGACCCCTTCCTTATACTATATACAAAAATAAACTCAAGATAAATGAAAGGCTTACATGTAAGACCTAAAACTATAGAAACCCTGTAAGATAACTCAGGAAATACCATTCTAGACATAGGACTTGGCAAAGATTTTATGACAAAGATGCAAAAAGCAATTGCAACAAAAATAAAAATTGACAAATTGGACCTAATTAAACAGAAAAGTCTCTGTAGAGTAAAAGAAACTAGATATTTTCTCCTATTCTGTAGGTTGTCTGTTTACTCATCAGAGTAAATAGAGAGTAAATAGACAACCTACAGACTGGGAGAAAATATTTGCAAACTATGCATCTGACAAAGGTTTAATATCCAGAATCTATAAGAAACTTAAACAAATAAGCAAGAAGCAAACAAACCCATTCAAAAGTGGGCAAAAAACATGAACAGGTACTTTTCAAATGAAGACATACATGCAGCCAACCAGTATATACAAAATGCTTAACATGACTAATTATTAGAGAAATGCAAATCAAAACCACAATAATATATTATCTCACACCAGTCGGTATGACTATTATTAAAATGTCAATAAATAACTGAGGCTGGAGAGGTTGCAGAGAAAAAGAAATGCTTATATACTGCTGGTGGGAATGTAAAACTTAGTTCAGCCACTGTGGAAAAAGAGTTTGGCGGTTTCTCAGAGAACTCAAAGCAGAATAACCATTCGACCTAGCAGTCCTATTATTGGGCATATACCCAAAGGCATATAAATTGTTCTACCATAAAGACTCATGCATGCATAGGTTCACTGAAGCACTATTTGTAATAGCAAAGACATGGAATTAACTTAAATGCCCATCAGTGGTAGAGTGGATAACAAAAATGTGGTACTTATGCACCATGGAATACTACACAGTCATAAAAAAGAATGAGATCATATTCTTTTCAGCAACATGGATGAAGCTGGAAGCATTATCCTAAGCAAACTAACACAGGAACAGAAAACAAGAGACAACACCTTCTTACTTATAAGTAGGAGCTAAATGATGAGGACTCATAGACACAAAAAAGAAAACAACAGACACTGGGGCCTACTTGAGAGTGGAGGGAGAGAGTAGGGTGAACAAAAAAAACTACCTATTGGGTACTATGATTATTACATAGATGGCAAAATAATTGAACATTAAACCCCTGTGATACTCAATTTGCCTATGCAATGAACCTGCATATATACCCCTAAATCTAAAATAGAAGAATGAAAAGAATGTTAAACTAACTTTAAGTTCACCCTGTACCCCCAAAGAAAAAAAATGCCCTGTTTACTCTTCTACTTTAACATATACCTAGTCATGTTGTCTGGTGTAACTTACCATAGTATACTGTACAAGTATATTGTGCATGTGCAAAAGATGGCATAAAAATCCCCCCAAATAGTTCACTCTTAACAATATAAAAGTGTCATGGTTAACAAGATAAATGATGTTCTAATTATTTTATTCCCAAAAAGAAATAGAAATACGATATCCTGAAAACATCCATAAAAGTTAAGATCAAATATTTTTCCTATTTAATTTCATATTCTACTCATTCTACACTCAGAGGGAATGATGATTCTCAAAACTGGTAGGATTTCAGAATATTTTCTGAGATATACTTACTAGTAATCAGGCTCATTTGCCCTTAACGATTCTAATATCTTGCCTTCATTCTTCCTGTCTCTTTGATTAGAAGGATAGGAATTGCTTCAGATCATTGTACCCTTCAGCCAAGTAGGAAATAGAAGGTCTCCTACCATGAAGACAGTTGATGCTTAGACAGAACGTGGAGGGTTCATCTTGACTAAAGCAGGGGGACCTGCATTGTATCCTTTTCAATTACTTTTGCTCAATAAACTGTTCAATAAGCTCCTTAATTCGATAAACATACATTGAGTTTCTATCATGAATTAACTATGTGATAAAGAACAAGGATTTGCTATCTGCCTTTGTAGCGCTTACAGTAACAGTGGATTTTGCACTATAGACAAACAATGATTATTTGCAGCTGTGGGTGATATATTTTCAGAGAGACATAGAGAAATTGGGTGTGTCAAAAGAGGTACGAGCTTAATGATTATGACTCTGCTACTCCTATCAAGTGGATACCAGCAGGATGAAGCAGGTATATTGTATATGAAGGTTAAGTAGGCATCTACCCTTCAATATCACTATATGAAGAGAACATAAGCCCATTATGAGTGGTCCTAAAAGACAAAACTAATCACAGTGGAGAGAAGTAACAAGGAAGCAGTTTAACAAAGGGAGAAACTAAGTTGCCCAGGCACAACGTGGACTGTACTACTGACTGTGAAACTTCTAGTCTTCAGAAGTGCTGCTTAAATTTTTGACAATGCTGTAGAAGAGATGCTAAATAAATATGGAGATTGGGCTAAATAAAATCAAGGTTCTTCAAGGTCTTAAGATTTAATTATTGTATAATGAGTCTCATTATCTGGAGCTGAATTCAGTTAGGCTCATTGTGTACCCCAAGGAAGCCTGGCGCTCTGTATTCTACCTTGGGTCTTGAAATGGACAGGGTGAGGAGAAATAGGAGGAGTTGCTCACAGTGAAACTGTCTGACCTACCTTGTTAATAGATCTTAACACCTCTTATGACCTGTCTCAGTTCAGATCCTATGGGAAATAGGCACCAAGACAGAGTTAGGAACACGTGTGAAAGATAAAGGGGCGAAGCAGTAGGAGTTGTTGGAGAAAGCCACTGACTGTGAAGCAGGTCTGACTCCTGTGAGGGGAGAGGAAAGGAAGGGAGACAGAGTAGAAAGATTCTCAGACTACAAGATGCCTTTGAGAAAGTCTCAGCCAGGCTGATGGCAAGCTCCAGAGGAAAGATCACCTGCTAGAGGACTCCCACATTGGGTGGGAATGAACTTGGCTATGATAACCCTGGAGCCCTCGGTTACTGGTTGGGAGCAGCTCAATGAGATCATGTCCTCTGCATGAACACCACAGTGGATCAGAGAGTGCAGTAGTTAGACACTGTCCACTCACTCCAGTCCTTGTACCAGGTTCTCTCTTGAAGGAGTAGCTGAAGAGCACACTCTTGTGACTGCCACAAGATCGCTGGTGCCTAGCAGAGCATCTTACATATGGCAGATCCCTAGTAAAGGCTTGGTATGAATGAAGGCATTGATGTATTTGCATTTCAATGTCTTAGACAAAGAGCTGCTCATTAGTGAATTTTAATTATTGTATAATGAGTCTCATCTTGAGCTGAATTCAGTTAGGCATATTTCACTTATATATAGCTTAATATTATTAATATCACAAATAGAAGGCTGTGGTCCTTTGAGGACCTAGAAAAAAACATGTATATATCCCACTGTCTCTCTCTCTCTCACACACACACACAGACACACAAGTTTATGTATGTACATACATATGTATGTATGTATATCTATCTATCTACCTTATCTACCTGTCTACCTGGATACATTCCAAAATTGGGAAGGAGCACCAAGGATAAGCATACAAACTTGGGGCCCTAAGGAAATGTAGAAATACTTGGAACTTAGAAGAAGAGGCATTTGTTATCTTTAGCACCAACATGTGATTGGGTAAATGATAATGAATGAATTTCCAGAATCCTATCACTATATGCTTAATAAGTCATTAAAATGACAGAAAAGGTATTTTCATTGAAAAACCATTTTTGTTCTGGAGAGGAGCTATCTTTTCTACTAGCAAGATCATCTAATTACAGCTTTGCTTACTTTGTTTTGCTTCCAAGGAAGCTTATCAATCATTTCAACCCCTGCACTGGCTGTGGTTGACAAGGAAAAAACTGAAAATGGTGACAATCTCTTGCAAGAAATAATTAGCAAAGGTTAAGAATATAGTGCTGTACAGAAGCTGCTGTTGATAAGGCATAGAACAGTCAGTGCTGATCATTTAGTGACAAGAAACTGGGCAGACAGGTGATGGTGAACTCTAATATTAGGTTGGTGCAAAACCCATTGTGCAATTACTTTGATAGTTCAGCTTTGAAAATGGCATGCCTTCTTCTGTCCCTCCTATATTGACTCAGATAGAACTGCTTTTCTGAAACACCAGTGGGGGACTGTGTAGATACAGTCATGTATACATCAAAATTTAAAGGAGAAACTTAGTATTCATTTTTATTGTGGAAGGGATCCCTAAGAAGAAATTTCCACATGATAATGCCTACTTTTATATTGCTGAGGAAAATGGGCAATAGCCACTCTTTGGAAAAGTGCTGTGTGAAAGAATCCTCATCTTATTATTCTGGTTGTGCTTTATAGCTTACATAAGTTTAGAGTATCATGTCATGAAGCAATGCATGTAACTAACTTTAGGGAGTGAAATCAACTAGTAGAAATTGGGGAAGTAGAGCTATGAGCAGTAATAGAGCTCAGGACAAGCCTAAGTTCCACTGATGCTCCAATATCCTCCAATACTAGGTTTTTCATCTCTATTTGGCAAAAGAATTGGGAGCTGCAGGTTGTTGTTTTATATCAATTGTGATAATATATATAAATGATCTAATGTATCTGAAAATGTTTTATAACATTACATATAAAACTAGGAAATTTTCATTATTGCTTGAACATGCAATTACTGAGTACATTTTGAAGAATGACTACATCTAGAGGGTTGCTAGGTGCCAACAATCGAAAACACTACAGGACAAATTTCTACCTTTTATTGTCTAATAATCTGGTTATGAATATTATAGCATTTGTAAAATAATGAGTAAGCAAGGAAAGGAAAATAACAGAGCTTGAAGAAACAGATTAAAACAATATAAGAAATATGATTTGACTGTAGTAGTTTAAAAAATTCCAGGTAGTTTCTATTCTCTGTTATACTATAAAATATGCTTATAATAAAGGAATTTTGTTGTAAATAGTTGACAAATATGGTTGTCACCAATCTCTTCTCTCTGTGTGTGTATCTTCTGCTTCTTAAGAGGTGGGACCTAGTTTCTCCTCTTTGATCAACTTATAAGCATAGTTGCAAAATCTTTTACTCAGACTTCAGAAAGTTTTAAGGGCATACCTCAGAGACCCTCTTCAATTAGACAGATCATAAAGGGAATTGACCCTCAACAATCTAGTTCTCAACCCAGGTCAGAGAGGGAGAAGTTTC